AGTAGTAGTAGTAGTAGTAGTCGTAGTCGTAGTCGTAGTCGTAGTCGTAGTAGTAGTAGTAGTAGTAGTAGTAGTAGTAGTAGTAGTAGTAGTAGCACTCGTAGTAGCAGTCGTAGCAGTAGTCGTAGTAGTAGTAGTAGTAGTAGTAGTAGTAGTAGTAGTAGTAGTAGTAGTAGTGGTAGTAGTAGTAGTAATAGTAGTCGCCGCAGTTGTAACAGTAGTGAAGATACTAGTGGTAGCTGTGGTAGTGAGAGCAGCAGTCGCAGTAGGAAATAGTGGGGGCTTTGCTAAGGAGTAGTTGCAGAGCAGTATGAACAGGCGTAGTACTAGAAGCAGTAGTCGCATTGGGAACAGTAGTAGACGTCGGCGTCCTCGTCGCAATCGTCTTTGTCGGCGTCGTCAGCGCCCGGCAGTTTTTGTCCCTCTATTGTTCGCCGTGTTAAATGTTGTTGGGTGCTCGTTTCTCCCAGTGGATACCCCCTCGTGGGCTACCGTGCACGACGGAGGAATTTTGAGCTTGTGTGTACAAGGATTGAAAGATATTTTGGCACGTCTCTAACCGAGTCAGCGCGTCGTCTTGGTCGTCCTCGTCGTCGGCGTCCTCGTCCCAATCGTCTTCGTCGGCGTATCCGGCGACGGCAACGACGACGGCAAAGGCCTGAGAGGTGGCCGCCGCGGGGGAATGTTTGTGTTTGATGCCTTGTCGGGGCCCCGATCCGTGAATAAGCCCCCGCGCAATCAAAACATAATTTTCCTTTTTGATCGGGTGGGATATTTGTTGAAGACGTATGTGGGTTCATAGGGGAGGTTCACGTAGGGATGATCTAGGAGGACGAGGAGTACGAACAGTTATGTGAAGGGGGATGCGGCGGTGGATCAAGGAGGAGGGGGAGGACGAGGGTGGAGGGTCGCGCATGTGGATGATGGCAGTAGGATTACGATGGAGGATGGAGTGGGAGATAGAGATGGAGGAGGAGGATGACGATGGTCAGGTTCAAGGGGGCAGTGGGGGTGGATGAGGAGGACCATCAGCATGATGATACAGAGGATCAGAGAGAGGTACGAGAGAGGTAGGATAATTACACTACATTTATCTGGGAGGAGGGGGATGACGATGATGGGGAGGATCAGGGAGGAGGGGGATCAGGATAATGAGGCGCGGATGGGCAGTTCGGACGAGTATATGGAGGAGGGGGAGGAGGAGGAGGAGGAGTAGGAGGAGGTGGAGGAGGAGGAGGAGGGGATGGGTCAGGGAGATACAGAACGAGAAGGATGCCAGGGAGGAGAGCGAGGAGGACAATCGGAAGGATTCGGGATATTATTGCTGCGGAGGGGGAAAGCGAGGATCAGGGAGGAGTCAGGAGTGAGGATGCGGAGGGCGAGGAGGACGCAGGAGGGTCAAGGGGAGCCTCTTCCCTTGCTGCCAGGCACCGCCCGCCCTCTCTCCAGTCCGCCCGCCCGCAGGCGAACATGCGGTCCTGCCCATGCGGAGGGCGCTTCTTCCGCATGCTGGAGAAGGACCGCGCCCCCCCTCCCCCCCCTTCCTCCTCCTGGGGCCCGCTCCCGGGCCAGCGCCCTCTGTGAGGGAGAGCGCTGAACGTTGGCATAGTGGTGTAGATCCATTCTCTCAGGTGCCATTGCTCTTTGGTCTCACCCGCTACGAAGACCAACATGAGCTCGTCTCGTCTCTCGTCGCCTCCTCCGCGTTCCTCCTCCGCCTCCTTCTCATCCTCCTTCTCCTCCTCATCCTCCCGTCTCACATCCTCATCATCCACGACCTCTTCTTATTTCGGGACGATCGGACTTGGTACGGAAATATTGGGCACGATGCCCAGCAGCCGGTTCTTTTCATTTTGAACCGGATTCGCTGTCCGTGCCGCCGCAGACCTTGTACACTGAAGACAAACAGCCGCCTGCCCAACAGCAGCCGCTGTCGTTTTTGGACATTGGGCATTGTACCGAATTGTTCCTTACCCATTCCTTCCGGGCTTCCGAAGTACCTACCTAAAACTGCCAGGGTTTCGCGCGGGCGCTCTGGGACGATGTTGGACCCCCATTGGCCATTGACGGAACCGTCGGCACCACCACGGGAACGCCCAATTAGACAGTCAGCCGTCAGACCGGCAATCGGGACCGCCACCTCGACAGCCAGCGAAGCAACCGTGGAGATTTGGACCGATATTTGCTAGAACTGGAGTACAGGGAGGAGGAGGAGGAGGAGGAGGAGGAGGAGGAGGAGGAGGAGGAGGAGGAGGAGGAGGAGGAGCAGGAGGAGCAGGAGCAGGAGCAGGAGCAGGAGCAGGAGCAGGAGCAGGAGGAGCAGGAGGAGCAGGACAGCCCTGGGGCTGCCACGGGGCAGCCGCGGCACGGCCGCGGAGCAGCCTGCGGGGCAGCCGCAGAGGGCGGCCGCGGCGCAGTCCCCGCGGACGGCCGCGGAGGGGCAGCCGCGGGGGACGCACGGGGCAACCACGGGACAACAACCATCGAGCAGTCGCGAGGCAGCCGCGGGACGACGACAGGCGATCGTGTTTTTTTTATGGACTGTTTTGCCGCTCGGCGCGGGCCCTCGCACCCCCCCCCCTTCCCCCCCCCCACGCCATGGAGTGGATGTTGGCCGTGTTTTGGCGCCTGTGTCGAGCAGGTGGAGTCTCCCCTCATAGGACGCAACGTCGCAAGCAGTGGCACCGAGCAGAGGTCTGGAGCCAGACCCCCCCCGCCCTCTTCGCCCAGTGGCGACACGCCGAAGCACAACACGCTCACCACAGCA